TGTTTAGTTAAACTATTTTTCTAAATGGAAATAACGTAAAGGCCTTAATTGCCAAGAAAGACGACAAGATGGTTACCAGTCATCGTAATTCAGCATCCAAAATGTTAGGTTATCAAAATGGGCTTTTCATCAGTACTATTTCTGGGTATTTTTCTGACATATTAACATAGATGGGAATCTGAACTAGCGCTTGCTGAACTTTCTGCTACCCTATCTAGCACACATATTTGGGGGATTTTTTTTAATCAAAGAAGTTTAACATTAAAAAAATAGAAAAATAAAAACTTGGCCAGATTATATTGACAAAGCTGCCCATTACCTTTGCAGAAAGTCCCTGTCAGAAGATAAACTTTAAAGCTGGAATGCATGAAAGAGTTCCAAGATAGAATTTAAATTTAAACTGATTCTTTATAGATAAGCTTTTTAAAAATCCACCTCTTTGCTTCAAGTCAGGATTTTAAAAATAAATTTCCCCTTTAAATCTCTTGAGCGATTTTCATTTTTTGCAAGGCCGCACTGCTGGTGTCCTGGAAAAATGGAGAGTTAGAGCTTTATCAGTTGGTGCCCTGAGGTATGTGGCAAAGAAGCTAAATCCTTGAAGATTAGCAAAAAAAATGCAGCACATGGCAATAAGGGGCTTATGTGACTACTAGTATTAGTTCAGGTGAAAGACGTATTGCTTATACATAAAACTGGACAAATCCACTGACAATGTATTTTTAGTTAGCTACAAAGGAGTCTTATATTACTGGACTTTGCCTCTTTGGTGACTTGGGAAGCTTAGTAATCCACTGTAAATGCTCTCTACGCGTCCCAATTCTCAGCATCACGCTAAGTGCTGTTCTTTTATTTTAACCCCTTAACAGCTCACATCTTCCCAGATTTTGGCTTCATGCCATTAAAAGATGGCATTAGTTGTATTGTTTAAGTAATTGAAATAATTGTCATTTAGTTTGTTGATTTCTGGGATGGACACATGAGAAATTATGTTGTGATTGTAGGAAATGTCCTTGTTTTTATTTTAGTAGGCATTTGAATAGAGTTAATGTAAACAGAAGTCTGATGAGAAATTTTTATTTAGAAATTGTGCTTTCTGTATCTATGTTATTAACATCCTTATTAGTCTGTTTCTACACTTGCTTGGATTTTATCTTTAGGTTAAATCTGATTTAGCCTCTTTAAGAAGGAAATTAAGGTATGTAAATATATTCAGGTCCGGTTACCATATTTCCTGGTTTGCGCGGGACAATCTCAGGTTACGCCTGTTTTGTGGTGTAATTAATAGCTTTCACTTTCCCTCTCAAAGGTGTCTCTGTTTGGATGATGTGGTCACCCTAGTTATAGGTAAAACTTTGAGCGGAGGTAACGACTTCTGAATCGTTCATTAATTGGACAAGTTTATTAAATATCTATTGTCTCAAGGCACGTTTATATCATTTTTAATCTGACTTATAAAAGATATCTTCATTTTTGTTGGTTCTGTTTTACATACTGTATCATTTGACTTTTTTTTAGTAGTAGGTCATAAATAAATTGTGTCTTGATTCTTTTGCCCTGCCAAGCCATTTAAGACAGCATCACAAACCTAGCCAGTTTAGTTGAATGGAGGTGAGGCCAAAGTTAATCTCAATTTCCACATTTTCTGGTTAGCCTTCCATAGAGAAAATGTATTTTACAACCACCTCTAGCCATCTCACAAGTATATGTCATTCATCGTAAAAGACATTGACAAAGAAAATGCATAGCTCCATGTAAGACATCAACATACCCAGAAAAAAAGACTCAAAACGTGTGGCAAGGAGTCAAGGAGCAGTATGGTAGGGCAGGGGATGAATTTGGTGTCAGGACACCTGGATTTAGATCATTTACTTACTAACATTGTAATTCTGGGCAAACCACTTAAGCTTTCTAGGCCTCAGTACTTGGGGATAATAGTACCTTCCACACCTGTTTTATAGAGTTGTGAAGATCAAATTGGGTCATGTATATGGGACACACTTTGTGAAGTGCAATAAATGTGTGACTTATAATTATTGTATAGTGTGGTAATAGAAAGGGACCAAACATACAATGTGAAGCATAATCGTAGTAAAGAAGATTTTTTTTTTTAAGGTAGAGCAAACAGCTGTATTTTTAACTAAAACTCAACAAAGGGTTAGGTGCTTAAATAATAGTATTGTGGGTTGAAGGAATGTGGAATATTACTCCCAATACCTCATCACTTAGGAGTATGTGACCCTAAAAGTTTTTAGAAATAGAGGAACTTTATATAATTTTTCATTCTCTAAATCAAAAAAACTGAGTTTAATCCCAGCTTTGCTATTTGTGTGACCTTAGAACAGAAAAAGGAAAAGGAAATGGAAAAGAAAGGGGAAATTTTTGCTTCAGATAGATCAGTTTCACTGTAAGATGGAAACCATAATATCTACCCTGCATGTTTAAAAACCTAAATGAGAACATCTCAAAAATAACCAAGCACAATGCCTGGCAAATAGGAAGTGGTTTAAAATGTTTGTTTTGGATATATTTGTTTATTCTCCCACAGATAACACGGAAAGATAAAAATATAAAAATCTTAATAGTTTACAAAATAGGTTGGACCATTGGTTTTCAGATTTGGTTAGATATGGAACTTTTTGTTCAAGACAAGGAGAAAGTGAACACAAACCCTAGTTAGTTCTCCGTGGGTCTTGCTCTGACCCCACCTCAGTGACTCTGGATCTCCTAGGACCTTGAGGAAAACCACTGCACTGTGCTGTTCAAAGATCCGGGCGAGTGAAGGAGACATTTGCCAACAGGGAGACTAGTTACAGTTTAAATGTGATGAGATGAAATACTTACAGGATGTTTAGTTGAAAATGTTCAGTAGGCAATATTATATTTTGGCCCTAAATTCCATCAGTGCTAGTCCAGAGAGGGAGATTTTGAAGACATGATGTATGTCACTGTGGAATGACAAGAGGAGAGGACCAAGTAAGGTCAAGCAAAGTAGAGGACTTTTGAAAGGAGAAGAAAGGAGCATGATAAGACCTATAATGGAAAAACATACTGGGACATTAGGAAATAGCGTCTGGAAAGAGTGGTTTTAGAGTGGCACAGTTGGGGCAGAAGATTGGAGTGGGTTGAGGAATGAATGGTGAGTGAGAAAGTAGAGACAATGAAGAAGAGACAGTGGAAGACTGAAAACTGTGAGAGGTTGTCAGCTAGAGGTTGAAGAGGAGGTAATATTTTTTTTAAAGATAGATTTGAGCACATTGAAAAGTTAGCTGAAAATAATTAATGTAATGAAGATGTTTCATGATGCTATAAATAAGGAGAAAGGTTCTTTAGAAGACTGGAGGAGGTGGGCCCTAGTATAGTTGTAGAGGCAGAGAAGTTTGTAAGTTTATGGGGACTTGGAGTTCTCCTGACTAGTGGCCTCAGTATTTTTTCCTGTGGAGTTTGAAGGGCAAAGGAGGAAAGGAAATCATGGGATGGTTCTTGAAAGAGGTAAAGCTTTGAAATCATAGCTTCCGATTAATTCTTTCAATCAGTAAATCTTAGGCACTTATTATTTGTCAGACCCCATGTTAGGCACTGGGAAATAGCAATAAGCAAAACAGATGTGGTCTCTGCCCTTATCTAGTTTAGCTGGTTATCCAAATAAATAGTACTGAAGGCAGAGATGACGTTGGAGTTTGTGATGGCAGAAGCTTGCATGATTTTTAAAGTTTTCTCTGGAATTTCTCAGTGCTCTGAAGGATGATTTTAAATTGGTCCTGGACAAATAGTGAAATAACTGGGAGTCAAAGGTGCTTGCAAGAGAAGTTAATCCAACGAATATTTGTTGAGTATCTCCTACGCTCCAGGCTGTTAAAGAGAATGGTCAAGGTTGTAGATCTTGATGTTACAGTGGATTAAAAAAAAATTCTAGAAGGGGACAGGTGAAAACATGAAAAAATAGAAGATTTGATCACTGTGCAATATATTAATTATATGATATAGTATATCGAACATAATGTTAAATATTCATTCCCCTTTAGAACCACCACACCGTTCTGATTTAACTCTTGAGCTTGAAATATGTAAATCAGTGGTTTGCAGCTAGTTGTCACAGTGACCAGCAGTGTACTGTTGGCATATAGTAGTGCCCCAAGACTAGGGAAGTTAAACATCTGGCAATGCCTGGGACAGTCCCATTCAACAAAGAATTGTCCCACCAAAAAGGCCAGTAAAACCCCTGTTGAAAACTCTGATATAGCCCATAATTTGAACTGCAGAGCTTGTGTTCAGTTTATTCATTCAAAATACTTATTACACCATAGCGCCTCCAACCCAAAGGTTGTGAAGAACCCCTTTAACATCATAGTTTGTGTATGCCGTTTCTAACTATTAGCTCAAATATTTGTGAGATCTTCAACTTGTTTAGCAGTCATTGCCTTCACCATAAATCCTTTCTAAAAATGTATATATATTTTTTCTTTTACGGTATTTTAGATCTTTTTACTACTAGCCAAAAGATGGAACAGTTTAACGTTGTAGTTACACTTGGTGTTTCAGTTGTTTTATATGACAGTGCTAACTTAAGATGAGTTTAATGTTTTTCCAATCGAATAAGTAGATGCATTTTATCTTAGAGAGAAGATATCATTGCATCTTTTTCTGTTTATATTAAGTCGGGTAATTACTTAAATGTTCCACCAAATGATCTAGATAATTTTTGTTAAAAAAAAAAAATTCTAACAATAAAATCCAAGAAATTAACCAAAACTAAGAAAGAAATAATTCCCATATTTACATAAAGTGATTAAATTTTATAAAATTTCTCCTGTTGCCAGGTAGCCTTCAGTTGTTGAGAAACAACACAGAATAGCCCAGATTATCTTTGGGTCTAGCATTTTAGCAACATTTGAGGCCGAAACTCGTTTATCAAGTTTGTGGAGATGAGGAAGTAGGAAAAGAGGTGGGAGGACCTTTGTTGAAAAAAAAAGTGTTTAACTCTAATGTCCTAACTTCAACAGATAAAAGTGGAGCCAGTTGTTCCAGCCCCAAGTCCAGTTATCCCCAGATTGACGCTCAGAGTTGGTGCTGGCCAAGACAAGATGTAAGTATAAACATTTGAATTGGAGTGAAATAAGTTGACCCTAATCTTCCCTGCTCTTTCCTGATGGATTTAGAACTCTACAAACCTTTTCCAGGTATGAACGTGTAGGGTCAAGCTTTATTTTAAGAATTTTTCATTTTCAAATTTTTATTGGTTTCTTCCTCAGAGTAAATGCTTATGGCTTTATTTAACATAGAGGATCCTTTTTTCTTGTTCTTTTTCTCCTTTTTAAAGGCTAGCACATGACATTGTTTCTGCATGGTTCTTGAGGTCCTGGCTATTTGCAAAGTAAGAGACTGGGTATTGAATGGACCAACTGCCATATTACACCCAGGTGGCAGTAAGGCATACCTTCTCAAGTACGTCTTCTGTGTCGCCATGACAGAGAGTGAAGATTCTCTTCTTGCTCAGATGGCACATGGTTTTATTCTCTTTCTATAAAGCAAAGATACTGCCAAAGGCTTAGTGAAACAGCATACAATAGTAATGCTGAAGTCTGAATTGTCTGCTCTTTTTTTTTTTAAGAAAAATTCATTTTTGAGTTATAAATTAAGGCCGCAGTGTTCCCATGTGATCCTAATAAGGTGATGAAACATTGATTTTTCTTTCTTATTATTCAAAAATCATACTATATATCATTTAAATGAATTTCACAAGTTTGCAACCCTATGTTTTTACCAGTAAGCCTGAACATGGATTAGTTTACTTTGCAAACGATCACATATTATGTAGAAAATAGGCTTATAAGGCATTTAATTTTCATTTGGTTTTTAGCCATAAAAATGAAAGTAGGACCCATGAATTTCTTTAGTTGGTAGACAACAGAAAATTTGCTTTGTGTTCTCAGTAGTTTGTTCCATCTTAAATTTTGTGCGTATTTTATGCTGCTGCTTTTGTTAATTCCTAATGTAGTGCAGTGAAAAGGTCCACCGTCGTTCTGAGGAATGGTAGTTCAGAGGCACACGCTGTCTTCTGGAGACTGAGGGAAGAAACTCCAGATAGTCCGTACTTTTCTTACCCAAATTACCTGCGTAATTCCGACAGTACCCTTTTTGGTTCTGCCAGTAGAATCCTAGACCAGTGGTTGGTAGTATTGCTGACAAGCTTAGACAATGTAACAAAAATACTGTAGATTCAGCTCTTTTTTAACCAGATGCTGGTACAGTACCTGGTACCCTCTATCTTACTTGCGGAAATTTGAGTGATGTTCTTATCCGTTAACCAGCAGAGGACAGAGAGCTAGTTAGCAAGGAGACGCAACCAAAGTAACTATTCATACCCTCTCCTTGGAAATTCTATACTTGGGCTCATTTCTCTAAGAGGAAAATGTTCTTATTTAGCATTCAACAAATACTTTTCTCCTGCTGGTTCGTATTTGTTTCTGTTTTCTCAGTAAGTCGCCGTTACATAATCTTTACTTCTACACAGAGGTTTGCCTTGCTCATTCCCTTTAGAGACAAAAGGTTTGGGAAAAGGCATCAATAAAACTGTTCATCTTATCCACCCTTAAGTATTTTTGAGCCATTCTGTTGACTCTTTGTTTTTCTCCTCTCAATAAATCGCTTATATACCTAAGATATTGAAGATGTAGGAAATAGATCCTATTACTCTGGAACATATTAGGGAAGTTAGAATACCCAGACATTCTGGACAAATTGCCTATGAAAGTATAATAATATGTGAACTTTCAGATATTTAGGTAAATAACCCCCATATTATATGAATAATTAATCATTTGACCAAAGTGAGACACAAAGAAATACTTATAATGAACAGAGAAATACATGAGTGAAATATATTATATTTTAAATTAAAATAAGAGAAAAAGAGGCCCAAGTCACACGGCGATGGGATTTTATGTAAAATATAACTTAATCAGTATAGGTTTTTTAAATCTAAATCAGGGTCAGCAAACTGTGGCCCATGGGCCACATCCACACCACTGCCTGTTTTTGTGTGGCTCACAGCTAAGAATAGTTGAAAGAAATTAAAAGAAGAGAATATTTTATGACACATGAAAATTTATGAAATTAGAAGTAATCTTTTGTTCTTATAGTTTAAGAATACATGGCTTATTCCATGGCAGTTATAATGGAAAAGGGGTGGTAGATTCATATAAATGTACCTTTACTTACTCAGTTTGTGCACACTCGGGAGTGTAATGATACTCTTTTGAAGTGAAATTAATGAGCAGGCTGGGATTGAAACAGGGGGTCTGAATAGTTCAGGGAAGGGGGTTGTTTACTGCTGAAGAACAGGCAGAGAATAGAGTCTTTGGAAATTATGGGAAAAGGAAAAAACTTTACAGGGTTCAAATTATACCCTCTTGTTGGGAGATCTTTAGGACAATATTTAGTTTCAAAATCTTCTTAAGTGAAGTTATGTCTTCTGCCCTCGATCCAGGAAAGTACTTTGAGGTTAGATTATTTCCTCTATTCTCTATTATGCTTCCTTGAAGCATACAAAGATACCTTGTTTTTGCCTTGATTTAATGTGACTGGAAACTGTATTCTAGAAGGTCTATGGTGAGTGCAGCACCTCCTCCTGAGGCTGTTAAAATCCAAGATGACTTTGCAAAGACCTCAAATTCCCTTAGCATGTCCTCCAGGATTGGGTATCCAGAGTTCTTAGTCTCTGCTGAAGATGAAACCAAAATACTAACCCGGAGATACAATCTCAATGCCTATGGAGTTTGTTAGAGTAGTATGAATGGGAAGAAACGGCACATTCAAGTACATTGCTAAAACATCTGAGTCTGGCCTAGCCTTCAGGTAGGTTTCGGCTTGCCCAGGAGCAGCTGCCTGGAACTGTATTGGTCAGGATTCTGAGGTCCCCCTTGGACTTGGTGACAAGGAGTATGATGAGTGTAGTGTCCGCTGTCATGGGATGGGCAAGTGGTACCACAGTTGCTATGTTATTTGTCATCTCAATCTTATCATTTACTGAGATTTGAGCAAGTGTAGGAAGAATGGTCCAACTTATGGCATTCTTTCATTTATTTTTCATTTATTCATTTCTGTGAAGAAGATAGAGCAAAGTAATGTGATGGAGTAATTTAGGGATGAGGACTGTTTCAATAGGATTGTCAAGAAAGTCATGACAAGGGCTGACCTCATGGCATAGTGGTTAAGTTCGGCATGCTCTGCTTTGGTGGCCCAGGTTCAGGTCCCAGGTGTGGACCTACACCACTCATTAGCCATGATCTGGTGGCGACCCACATAGGAATTAGAAGAAGACTGTCACAGATGTTAGCTCAGGGTGAATCTTCCTCAGCAAAAAAAAACAAAAAAGACAGACAGACATGGCAGAACAGGACCTGCAACTCTTCTAAAGTTAAATATGGAGTTATATTTATACAGCTCAAAATTCTGTTGAAGGAGCTCCTAATGAAAAAAGGTAATTTTAAATATTGGTAAAGGATTAAGAAAAATGTAAGTGTATATAAAGACTTTGAGATGAATAGTGGTGACGGTTAGGGGATTAAGCGTTCTTCCCCCCTCGCAGTTCTCAAGTGTGTCTTTAATGCTGTCCTCTCACTAGTCCTGGGAAGGAAGTTTCTGTCCTTTTCTCTGTCTGCCCCTTCACTCCTCCCCTCGGTCAGAGCGGCTCTTCTGCTTGCCGTGTTATTTCATCTGGTTAGTGGGGGTTTCTGTTGAAATGGTGAGCTGGTCATGCTCTTAGGGCATTGCTGTCCTTATTCAATGAGCTCACCAGAAAGGGGTCATTAATTAGACCCTTCCAGACATCCAGTAATGCTCAGTCTTTTTTCCCAATTTGTATCTGATAGTATATTTGATCAAGTGATAGAATCATTTATGATGGCTTTCATGAAAACAATATCTAATAGTATATTTATTTGATCAAGTGACACAATAATTTATGATGCCTTTCATGAAAACACTATGTCATCAATGATCATTCTAAATTTTCTTTTGACTGAGAGGTCACAACAGATTTTTTTTTTACAGATTTAACCCTTTTTCCAAAATATGCAAATTATGCTGAGATATTCTTCCGTGATCACTTTACTCCTGGTGATTATAGTTTTCTTTCTGCTAACATTTTGATTCCCAGTGTCAACACAGCCATGAGTATTATCAAGTTTCTTAAAATTCAGGAAATTCTTTCATTAGTCAAACCTCTCTTAGCAGAGGTGCTGAAAATTTGATGTTTTCCTTTTTGTGTGAGTAATTGAGGTTTTTGCTGCAGTTTACAGACTTTAGCTTGTGCCTGGGAGGGGGATTTTTAATAGTTGTAGTTTTTAGATTTTTATTTTTGTTTTCTGAGGAAGATTAGCCCGGAGCTAACATCTGCTGCCAATCCTCCTCTTTTTGCTGAGCAAGACTACCCCTGAGCTAACATCCTTGCCCATCTTTCTCTACTTTATATGTGGGACGCCTACCACAGCATGGCGTGCCAAGCGATGCCATGTCTGCACCTGGGATCCAAACTGGCCAACTCAGGCTACCAAAGCGGAACATGCACACTTAACCTCTGCGCCACCAGGCCGACCCCTACATTATTTATATGTACTGTGAAAACTAAAACTTTGCCATTAATCCTGAAAAAATTAAAGAGTTTAATCTTTTTTTTTTTTTAAGATTTTATTTTTCCTTTTTCTCTCAAAGCCCCCCAGTACATAGTTGTGTATTTTCAGTTGTGGGTCCTTCTAGTTGTGGCATGTGGGACGCCGCCTCATCACGGCTTGATGAGTGGTGCCATGTCCGCACCCAGGATTTGAACCAGCGAAACCCTCGGCCATCAAAGCAAAGCGGGTGAACTTCACCACTCGGCCATGGGGCCAGCCCCAAGAGTTTAATCTTTAAAAACAAAATATTTGTGGATATTTCTGGTCTTTTTGTGATCCAACCTTTTCTCATTAACACTTTTTGTCAGTACAGCTAGAAGTAGAAAATAATTATGGGCAATTACAAAAATAACCATTTAAAATATTTTTAAAGAAAATAAACATTTTATATTTTTTAAATGTAGCCAGATTT